TTAAAACTAATTTTTCAACCACTCCACAAATTTCTTGTTAACAAACTATAGTTTTGGCAAGTCGGTTAGGACATCTACTGCGCATGACACAAGTAATTTTTCCAACAATTGTTTACAGACAGATTATTTCACTTATATTTCACTGTATCACAATTCCAGAAAATGATGTCATGGCTTTAGAAGCTTCTGACATCATTTGAGTCAATTGGAGGTGTACCTGTGGATGTATTTCAAGGCCTACCTTCAAACTCAGTGTCACGATCGTCAGGGTAAGGAGTAGACCAAGGCGCAGCGTGATGAACAAACATTACTTTAATTAGTTAAAGCACGAAACAAAACAAGAAACGACTCGTGACGTCCACGGTATCAATGACCGAACATGGAACAAAAACCCACAACCACAAAGGAAAAACATACAGTTTAAATATGGCTCCCAATCAGAGACAACCAGCCAACAGCTGACACTCGTTGCCTCTGATTGGGAGTCACTCAGGCAAACATAGAAATACAACAAACTAGAATGAACACCAACATAGAAATACACACATAGAAATGAACACACCCTGGCTCAACATAATGAGTCCCAGAGCCAGGGTGTGACAGTACCCCCCCCCTAAAGGCGCGGACTGCGACCGCGCCTCAACTAAACAAACCAGGGGAGGGCTGGGCGGGCATACCTCCTCGGCGGCGGTTCTGGCTCCGGCCTTGACCACCACCCTCCAATACACCCCCCATAGTGCCCCTGGTCCAGTCTGGCCCCGCCGGCTGGAGCAGGACTGGACTTAACAGGAGCGATCCTTACCAGGCTGTCGACTCGCACCCCTGGCTTGGTGCGTGGAGGAGGAACGGGCCTTACCAGGCTGACGACTCGCACCCCTGGCTTTGTGCGTGGAGGAGGAACGGGCCTTACCAGGCTGACGACTCGCACCCCTGGCTTGGTGCGTGGAAGAGGGACGGGCCTTACCAGGCTGACGACGCGCACCCCTGGCTTGGTGCGTGGAGGAGGAACGGGCCTTACCAGGCTGACGACTCGCACCCCTGGCTTGGTGCGTGGAGAAGGAACGGGCCTTACCAGGCTGACGACTCGCACCCCTGGCTTGGTGCGTGGTGGAGGGACGGGCCTTACCAGGCTGACATCTCGCACCCCTGGCTTAGTGCGAGTGGCAGGAACAGGCCGGGCCGGGCTGGCGACGCGCACCGTATACTTGGTGCGAGTGGCAGGAACAAGCCGGGCCGGGCTGGCGACGCGCACCGTATACTTGGTGCGAGTGGCAGGAACAAGCCGTGCCGGGCTGGCGACGCGCACCGTATACTTGGTGCGAGTGGCAGGAACAGGCCGGGCCGGGCTGGCGACGCGCACCGTAGGCTTGGTGCGTGGAGCAGGGACAGGCCGGGCTGGGCTGTCGACGCACACCGTAGGCTTGGTGCGTGGAGCAGGGACAGGCCGGACTGGGCTGGCGATGCACACCGTAGGCTTGGTGCGTGGAGCAGGGACAGGCCGGGCTGGGCTGTCGACGCACACCGTAGGCTTGGTGCGTGGAGCAGGGACAGGCCGGGCTGGGCTGTCGATGCACACCGTAGGCTTGGTGCGTGGAGCAGGGACAGGCCGGGCTGGGCTGTCGACGCACACCGTAGGCTTGGTGCGTGGAGCAGGGACAGGCCGGGCTGGGCTGTCGACGCACACCGTAGGCTTGGTGCGTGGAGCAGGGACAGGCCGGACTGGGCTGGCGACGCACACCGTAGGCTTGGTGCGTGGAGCAGGGACAGGCCGAACCGGGCTGTGGAGACGGATAGGAGGCCTGGAGTGAAGAGCGGCCACCACCCGTCCTGGCTGAATGCCTACCCTCACACACTCCGTGTGAGGCATCCGCACAGGACGTACAGGGCGGTGTACCCCTGGCCTGGTGGCCTTCTGGATCCGCCCCCTTTTCTCCTCCGTCAGCCCCGTCGTCCATGCCGTGTGCCCCCCCCTAAAAATTTTCTGGGGTTGCCTCACGACCGTCCGACGACGACCCTGATCACGCCGTAGCTCCTCTCTACGGCGCGCCTCCACCGTCTCTTCTCCCGGCGCTTCCTCCCATGTCCAGCCCAAGAGCTGCCCCTGGACACGCTGCTTGGTCGTTGCATGGTGGGTTTTTCTGTCAAGGTCGAGGTAAGGAGTAGACCAAGGCGCAGCGTGATGAACAAACATGACTTTCATTAGTTAAAGCACGAAACAAAACAAGAAACGACTCGTGACGTCCACGGTATCAATGACCGAACACGGAACAAAAACCCACAACCACAAAGGGAAAACATACAGTTTAAATATGGCTCCCAATCAGAGACAACCAGCCAACAGCTGACACTCGTTGCCTCTGATTGGGAGTCACTCAGGCAATCATAGAAATACAACAAACTAGAATGAACACCAACATAGAAATACACACATAGAAATGAACACACCCTGGCTCAACATAATGAGTCCCAGAGCCAGGGTGTGACACTCAGTGCCTCTTTGCTTGACATCATGGGAAAATCAAAAGAAATCAGCCAAGACCTCAGAAAAAAGATTGTAGACCTCCACAAGTCAGATTGATCCTTGGGAGAAAGTTCCAAATGCCTGAAGGTACCACGTTCATCTGTACAAACAATAGTACGGAAGTATAAACACCATGGGACCACTCAGCCGTCATACCGCTCAGGAAGGAGACGCGCTCTGTCTCCTAGAGATTAACGTAGTTTGGTGCGAAAAGTGCAAATCAATCCCAGAACAACAGCAAAGGACCTTGTGAAGATGCTGGAGGAAACAGCTACAAAAGTATCTATATCCACAGTAAAACGAGTCCTATATCGACATAACCTGAAAGGCCGCTCAGCAAGGAAGAAGCCACTGCTCCAAAACCGCCATAAAAAAGCCAGACTACAGTTTGCAACTGCACATGGGGACAAAGATCGTACTTTTTGGAGAAATGTCCTCTGGTCTGATGAAACAAAAATTGAACTGTTTGGCCATAATGACCATCGTTATGTTTGGAGGAAAAAGGGGACAGCATGCAAGCCGAAGAACACTATCCCAACCGTGAAGCAAGGGGGTGGCAGCATCATGCTGTGGGGGTGCTTTCCTGCAGGAGGGACTGGTGCACTTCACAAAATAGATGGCATCATGAGGAAGGAAAATTATGTGGATATACTGAAGCAACATCAGTCAAGAAGTTAAAACTTGGTCGCAAATTGGTCTTCCAAATGGACAATGACCCCAAGCATACTTCCAAAGTTTTGGCAAAATGGCTTAAGGACAACAAAGTCAAGGAATTGGAGTGGCCATCACAAAGCCCTGACCTCAATCCTATAGAAAATGTGTGGGTAGAACTGAAAAAGCGTGTGCGAGAAAGGAGGCCTACAAACCTGACTGAGTTACACCAGCTCTGTCAGGAGGAATGGGCCAAAATTCACCCAACTTATTGTGGGAAACTTGTGGAAGGCTACCCGAAACGTTTGACCCAAGTTAAACAATTTAAAGGCAATGCTACCAATTACTAATTGAGTGTATGTAAACGTCTGACCCACTGGGAATGTGATGAAAGAAATATTCTGACATTTCACATTCTTAAAATAAAGTGGTGATCCTAACTGACCTAAGACAGGGAATTTTTTACTAGGATTAAATGTCAGGAATTGTGAAAAACTGAGTTTAAATGTATTTGGCTAAGGTGTATGTAAACTTCCAACTTCAACTGTACGTATGTATCTAGATAAACAGGAAGGAGGTTAATGTAACACTTTGTGATACAGAGGTCAATGAAACAGAGACTGGTTTCGGTACACCACTTTGATTCCCTCTGTTTCAGGGTTAGTCAACCTGCAGTGTGTCTAGTCAGAGAACAGACTTGCAAAAGACTTCCTCAAGTTTCGTATGGTCTCGGCCTTGGCCATGTCTTCACTGGCTGTGCGAAAGAAGAATGTTTCCTTCAGGCCGAAGGCGTTGGTCAGGGACTGAGATTTACTGGAGAAAAAAAAAAATAGTAGTGATTATAATCAGTAGTAGTAGTAAGCCGAAGGTCAAATAACCTTACCAATTGACTGTAGAGCATTATATTTCTTAGATAAAGGCTATTATGTTTGGTTTAACCTTGTAATTATGTCGACACTAAGTATATTTAAAGTGTTGCTGACAATGTGCTCTTACTTCAGCGGTAGATGTGCCTCTGCCTTTTCCTCTGCTGTTGGCTGTTCTACCACTGGAGGCTGGTTCTTCTCAGGACTGGTGGCCTTCCCTTGTGCCTGAGTCGGTGATTCATTTTGGGGTTGGGCCAGTGGCTCAGGCTGGGGTAGGACTGAGGCCTGTGGAGGAGCCTTGGACTCGGGTTGGACCTGAGGTACTGAGTTGCGCTGTCTTGGGGGTGCAGGCTTGGCAGGCTGTGCTGGAGGTGGTAGTGGTTGTTGAGCCTCCAGGCCTCCTGGTCTGGGCTTGGCCTGACTCGCTGACTGCGGATGGGGCTGCTGTGTGGTTGGGGTAGGCCTCTGGCTTGAGTCTTTAGCAGAAGCTTTAGGAGCTGACTTTGGAGCAGGCCTGGGACTTTGTGATAGTGATCCTTGGGGCCCCTAATTTTAGTACAATAAATACTTTATGATATTATCACACTTTTGCTGTGGAGAGAGTATATTGAATAATGTACCAAAGGCTTTGAATATTAGTCTGTACCTTTTTCACATTTGTATGGGTAAATTTGTCCCTAAAACCACCTGACAATAACAGTAGACAGTCTAAAATCAACACTGGTCAAGGGAGGAGGTAAAAGCTGCCAAATAAAGAAACACAAAGCAGGGGGGGGGATACATTATTACAATACTGCAGATATCTGTCATGCATTAGAAGCAATGCAATGTGGGGCGCACATGCTTCATGAGGGTTTGATGGAGGGGTTTTGACCAACCAATATGTTTGCACATTTATTTGGTTTTCCCCACTTTAATAATATGATATGATAGATAAATACATACTTTGACTACCATTAGTAGGTCTTAAAATTAAAGTAAATTGATATTGTGTTCTGACCTTTCTTCGCCTGTGTTTGTTGTTGGTTCTCTTGCTCCACATAACTTTCTATAAACTGACTTTTTAAAGAGTCCCTATCCACTGTATATACTGTACATAGTGACACAATATAGGGTGATTTGCTCGTTGATATAGGCCTAGTGTTTTTATACAACCATAACAAATATGGCAACACAGACTGAACATATATTGCAAAGGAAGCTTTATTGCCAGTGACAGGGGAAAATATCAATTTGGGGAATTTTTCTACAATGTATTGTTATCTGTACTGGATTTTTTCAAACAGTTCAACACTAGTTCCAAGAGTGCACACTTAACAGATAGTAGTCACCCTGGTCCAAAATAGCTGCAACCCAGCAGGTTTGAAAAACTGAACCAGCAAAGGAGTTTCACCTGGGCAGGATGGCTGATTTTGAGTTTCCCCTGACAATAACTTCTTTAATCAATTAGTTCCACAACAAATACGTCACTATGCAACTATTAAGGACCTTGGTGCCACCGCTCTATCCTCCCTTTTGTAGATACGTCATGGCATTTTACTCCACAAATCAAAACACAAAACCATAAAGCCACAGGCAAGGCTTTTACAGGGTTACTCTCTGGGTTAGGCTATCTGCACAGACACAATGTTATTTCATACACCTAGGAAAATAACTTGCACACTGAGCTTGCTAAACATAGTTCGTTTGTACAATTCTGTTAGTAGCAAACAAAGTGTTTTAGAATGGGACACACATGTACAATTACCTTGATATAGATGTATTCTTAGTTGTACGACCATTTCACCAAATAGGACACATGCATGGCTTCTAATAACTACTACTTAATGCAGGTGTTTTTAATGTACAACAGTGGTAGCTATGGGAGAATGTTTGTATCCCACTTGTGAATATAGCTCTATGAATAAATTATGGAAGAAGATCTGGTACTAAAAATATAAAGAATATAAAGTTATAAACATATATATTGCACTCTCCATTAACTCAGAGGAGTATGATAAGGCAAATATGTCAAATTATTTTTAAATGGCAGTAACATAAGCATAACTCCACGCATATCATCACGGCAATACAGAGCGCCATCCCTGTTGTCATGGCAATGCCACTACAGTCATTGATATTGAGCATGGACGGTATGTGTATGGTGGTATCAGAAACCTTATACCTAGTAATTTAAATATATTATTATGTAAGACCATTTCACTGAAGCACAATTTAGTTTTTTACTTGACAACATAATTGAAAATGACAGGACTAATTTGACTACTTCACTTCCTGAAATATCACAAATAGGTTTACACATGCATCATAGACCTAAGAGGAAACGGTTATTACTGTAATCTCATTAGATAATGAACACACCTCTAGAGTCATTCTGTTAACGAATCTTAATGAGAGCATTCTACTATCACAGTTACTCTCTAACTCTATCACAATCTCTCCTCTCTGCTGACGCAAATGCAGCTGCCACAAACATATCCTATATATTTACAGTGTGGGGACTGTGATTATAAGTGCTGAGTGATAATAAATAAGTCAAATATGTATTATTTCTCTCAAAATGCTAGAGTAGTCTATTGTAATTTTGTAAGTTATCTAATATGTTTGTCCTCATACACATGAAGACATCTATGGCTGTGTTCTGTGCATAGAGACAATTTATAAAACTGTCAAAGAACTGTCTTGCTAGGAGTTGGTTATTATAGCAATGTTCACTGAGGGAAGTATGGGTAGTCTATCTGCTAATAATGAACAAAGAAACAGCAACGTTTCATACATGTTTCAAACCTCCTTTTAAACAATGAAGGTCTACATAGAAGTGATCTTGCTGTATGTGTTGGTGTACTCATTAGCTTTCTTGGCTCTAACACTTGGTTGTTTATGAATACACCTATTTTGTATAACTTATACAATATGTATTCCATATTATGACACATTCACAATGCATAAATCACAGGGACAGTAGTTTGGAACTATAACATTGATGTCACTAAAGAAACATCCTGATTGATCATCTGACATTTAAAACATACAGTTACCTGCCTTCATATCATTCAGGCAAAACAAAAGATAATTACCTATTATATTAGTATATGTATGAAAATAATCACCACTACAGACACACGCACCCACATTTACATATTGACATATACACAAACGTCAAACTGCACGATAAACCAGTTTGACAATATCTAAAAGTACACACCAAAATGGAGGGGGGGGGGGGTCAAATGATGAATAATGACTAAATCAAACACCTGACACACAGCAGCACTAGACTCAGTGTAGACACAATCTGCTCATTACACCGTCAACAACAGCCCCAAAGAAAACAACGGCTACAGAGAAACAGAGGCGACCGTTACAAGCACACTAAATCAACAGGGAAACAAGTGGACAGTACATCTTGACACTGCATAGAGGAAAAACACATTCCAGGCCAGCAGTACACTCTGGGCCAAACTTAACACCAGCCAGATCTCAGTCTGTCTAACGTCTCTCCACTCCCCAACTCCCTCCCCTCCTCTCTGCTTTTGTGTTCAGCTAATGTACGTCATCATCATTTCAATATTACATAGACTTCCACTTTGGCGGGCTAATTAGTTGGCCTGGACGGGTTTTGGCCCCACTGCAACGCCATTACAGTCGAGAATGTATTGCAGACAACCTTGAGGAGGGCGTGTAGCACCAGTCTTGGGATCAACCACCAGGTCCTTCTGGACACCACTCTGCAAACACACAAAACAAAGTGTTACTCCCAGAGACACTACAGTTAAATGTCCTTATGACACAATTCTGTTTTCATACTGCTTTAAAGAATGTACTTTTCCAACAAGAATATAGATCCAATGTTGGTTTTATACTAATCTGGCAATACACAAAGGCTATACACAAATCTAGCTATACACTAGTTACTAAGACACAGTAATATGGATATTATACACTAAACTCTAATACAGGTGGAGGCTCTCAAACAGGATTTCCTAAAAGCCTACCTGTGAGACTATGACTGATCATATTCCCATACAGTTGGTGTATGTAGCCTACTTCACCATACCTGTGACGGCTGCATGGTGGTTGGTCTGTTAGCAGACCCAGCGGGTGTCCGTCCTACTGCCTGGTTCATCTTGGCTACCACCATGTCAGTGATGAGCTGCCTGTCCTCTGCCTGATGCTCTCCTACCAGCGACATGGAGGACCCCACCACCTGACACACACAGAAGATGGTATTATTACCAGAGGAAGAGAAGGTGGACGTGGGTAAGTTATGAAGGAAGCACAGTAGATTGTGTGTCACATTTGGTTAAAGTGAGGGTTTAACTGAATGGCTAGGGAAATATGTTTGGATACCATCCCATGCTCTCAATAGTTGTGCCATCTGTGAAACATGAACATTTAACCATATCATGTGTAGGCTGCTGTTCCCATAACAACCAGATAGCGACCTAACAAGGTTATGGAATACAGTAATACATTGGTTAACAAATATGTTGAATATTTCAAAATATTTAATAAGCAAACTGCCTGTGTGTTGAGAGCAGCTGAATAATTAGGTAATACATCATAATAATTCCTGCAATATTTCAGGCGATGTGAAATATTTTACACTTACTAGGAAACACCTACCTCAGTGATGTAATCTTTCCCGTCCTTTCCATGAATGGCTTTGACAGCACAGATATCCAGCCCTCCGAAGATCTCTGAGCAGGTGTCAACCCACAGCTTGTACCTGAACACAAGCCAAGGAGGATAGATCTCACACAAAGTGGTCTTACATAGTGTCACAGTCAACAGATTTATGTCAAGGACGAGTGTGATGCTATTTAATAGAGATAATTTGCATGTAGCAGTGTGATTACTCAAATGGCTTTAATCAATTGTGTACCATTCAGAGAGAACACAATACAGAGTGCTAACTTGTATCAATACAGACATTTAGATTGTTTCATAATGAGCTACATGAATTATAATTGACTTTCGTAATGAGACAGGCTATTGTCTGGCATTCTCTTGTCTTGTCCTATTAGAATGGAAGCATTGTCAGTGGTGTTGTACTGCTGTTGTTCAGGACTCATACCTGTCAGTCATGGCCACTTGTTCCAACATGGCTGAGCCTGTGTTGCTCTTCCAGTTGCCAGAGATTGAAGTCCTCCTATAATGTATGAGACATTATACAAATGGTATACATATTAAAGTCCCTGTTGATTGTTAATTCAAGGATTCACAAATTAAATTGTCTTGGATTAATTCGATTACACTTCTGGATTACACAACAACAACAAAAAAGGCAGATACTTACAGTGAGGGAAAAAAGTATTTGATCCCCTGCTGATTTTGTACGTTTGCCCACTGACAAAGAAATGATCAGTTTATAATTTTAATGGTAGGTTTATTTGAACAGTGAGAGACAGAATAACAACAAAAAAATCCATGTCAAAAATGTTATAAATTGATTTGCATTTTAATGAGGGAAATAAGTATTTGACAACCTCTCAATCAGAAAGATTTATGACCCCAGGTGTCTTTTATACAGGTAACGAGCTGAGATTAGGAGCACACTCTTAAAGGGAGTGCTCCTAATCTCAGCTTGTTACCTGTATAAAAGACACCTGTCCACAGAAGCAATCAATCAATCAGATTCCAAACTCTTCACCATGGCCAAGACCAAAGAGCTCTCCAAAGATGTCAGGAACAAGATTGAAGACCTACACAAGGCTGGAATGGGCTACAAGACCATCGCCAAGCAGCTTGGTGAGGAGGTGACAACAGTTGATGCGATTATTCGCAAATGGAAGAAACACAAAATAACTGTCAATCTCCCTCGGCCTGGGGCTCCATGCAAGATCTCACCTCGTGGAGTTGCAATGATCATGAGAACGGTGAGGAATCAGCCCAGAACTACACGGAAGGATCTTGTCAATGATCTCAAGGCAGCTGGGACCATAGTCACCAAGAAAACAATTGGTAACACACTACGCCGTGAAGGACTGAAATCCTGCAGCGCCCGCAAGGTCCCCCTGCTCAAGAAAGCACATATACAGGCCCGTCTGAAGTTTGCCAATGAACATCTGAATGATTCAGAGGAGAACTGGGTAAAAGTGTTGTGGTCAGATGAGACAGAAATCGAGCTCTTTGGCATCAACTCAACTCGCCGTGTTTGGAGGAGGAGGAATGCTGCCTATGACCCCAAGAACACCATCCCCACCGTCAAACATAGAGGTGGAAACATTAATTCTTTCGGGGTGTTTTTCTGCTAAGGGGACAGGACAACTTCACCGCATCAAAGGGACGATGGATGGGGCCATGTACCGTCAAATCTTGGGTGAGAACCTCCTTCCCTCAGCCAGGGCATTGAAAATGGGTCGTGGATGGGTATTCCAGCATGACAATGACCCAAAACACACGGCCAAGGCAACAAAGGAGTGGCTCAAGAAGAAGCACATTAAGGTCCTGGAGTGGCCTAGCCAATCTCCAGACCTTAATCCCATAGAAAATCTGTGGACGGAGCTGAAGGTTTGAGTTGCCAAACGTCAGCCTCGAAACCTTAATGACTTGGAGAAGATCTGCAAAGAGGAGTGGGACAAAATCCCTCCTGAGATGTGTGCAAACCTGGTGGCCAACTACAAGAAACGTCTGACCTCTGTGATTGCCAACAAGGGTTTTGCCACAAAGTACTAAGTCATGTTTTGCAGAGGGGTCAAATACTTATTTCCCTCTTTAAAATGCAAATCAATTTATAACATTTTTGACATGCGTTTTTCTGGATTATTTTGTTGTTATTCTGTCTCTCACGGTTCAAATAAACCTACCATTAAAATGAAAGACTGATCATGGGCAAACGTACAAAATCAGCAGGGGATCAAATACTTTTTTCCCTCACTGTATGCCTAATGTGGAACATTTAAAGGTTTTCAGATGTTTACATTAGCTTACAACAGAGGAATAATCATAAATACAAAATGGCGAATAGTACGTACATGTAAGCCTTGTAGTCATTGCCAATCTTCTGGATTCTGATGTCGTACTTGGAGTCGATGAGGGGCTCTGTGGTGGTGTAGGTCTGGGTGAGAGCCACAACACTGACTATGTCCTGGAACTTACTGTGGTTATCCACCTTCACCTGGACACAACACACACAGTAAGTACAGTAAGAAACCCAGGGAGGAAACAACATTAGGAGATGATAGTCGTCAGTGGTTCTCTCAAACAACCAGGTCCTCTCCAAACGGCAACACAAACCCATGTATTTTGTCTGCTAGTATAACCTTATTTTTTGTGATGTAATTGTTTTTGTAATGAACAATAATAACAACCAGACCAGAATGCACCTCTCGCCAACCAACACCCTCCACTAGCAGCCCGACAGTCTACAGAATAACAATATCAAGCCTTAATAACATTCTTACCTTTCCTACTCCTGAGTGAGCGTGTCCAATTTTCACAACTACAGGAAACGTTGGCATGGCAACCTGAGTGATAAACCGTCAGACATTATTGTTTTATGTCTGGTTTCATGATACAACGAAGCAAAATAAGTCCACATTAATGGCTACATTTTCAGAGGACATGATTAGGTCATTACCATCTCCTTGTAGTTGGGATAGAAGGTCTGTTCGATCAGAGGGAACTTCTCTGCACCAAGCTTCCTGTAGGTGCTTATTAGCTGTGCAAACTAGAGACAAACATTTGATATCCATTAGTGAGACATCCATTAGTGAAGTTATGCCACTGACTTAAGACACAAATAAACAAGTCTCATGCATTGCACCCAGCCAGCCTTCTGTCTGCCTACCGCCCAGGGCTTGTCACACAGGTTGTAGATGGACTCCAGCGAGTTGATACTGGGGATGCCCCCATACTGCAGACCAATGATCAGGTTACGGAAGTCCTCATTGTGGGTCATACTGAAGGCATGTTGGAGGATGAGGACAAAGTCAGGCTTGAATGACCTGTAAAACATAAATACACAGATGCTTCAGAGAGAAATGAAAAGTGGTTTGACCTTCACAACCATGGCTGTCACGATCGTCATAATGATTGGACCAAGGCGCAGCGTGATATGCGTACATCTCTTTAATGTGTACTTAGCAACACGATACAAAATACAAAACGAAACGTGAAGTCCTCGGTCATGAACACAAACCAACACGGAACAAGATCCCACAAAAGACAAGTGCACAATAGGCTGCCTAAGTATGGTTCCCAATCAGAGACAACAAGCAACAGCTGATTCACGTTGCCTCTGATTGAGAACTACCCCGGCCAACATAGAAACACATAAACTAGATCGTGAACATAGAACACAAAACATAAACCCTACACACCCTGGCTCAACATATAAGAGTCCCCAGAGCCAGGGCGTGACAGTACCCCACCCCAAAGGTGCGGACTGCGACCGCGCCAACATAAACCCAACAGGGGAGGGGCCTGGTGGGCATTCCGCCTCGGAGGCGGATCCGGCTCCGGGCGTGACCACCACCCTCTAACAACCCCCCCGTAGCGCCCCTGGTCTGGTCCCGCTGGCTGGAGCTGGACATCGGTGGAGCGGATTGCTTAGGCTCCGGTGTGGAGCAGCTGACCGGTACCTGACCAGGCACCGGTGAAACAGGCACCGGCTGTGCCGGACTGACGACGCGCACCACTGGCTTGGTGCGGGGAGCAGGGACGGGCCGGACCGGGCTGGCGACGCGCACCACAGGCTTGGTGCGGGGAGCAGGAACGGGCCGGACCGGGCTGACGTCGCGCACCACTGGCTTGGTGCGGGGAGCAGGAACGGGCCGGACCGGGCTGACGACGCGCACCATTGGCTTGGTGCGGGGAGCAGGAACAGGCCGGACCGGGCTGACGACGCGCACCATTGGCTTGGTGCGGGGAGCAGGAATGGGCCGGACCGGGCTGACGAAGCGCACCACTGGCTTGGTGCGGGGAGCAGGAACAGGCCGGGCCGGGCTGGCGACGCGCACCATAGGCTTGGTGCGGGGAGCAGGAACAGGCCGGGCCGGGCTGGCGACGCGCACCATTGGCTTGGTGCGGGGAGCAGGAACAGGCCGGGCCGGGCTGGCGACGCGCACCACAGGCTTGGTGCGGGGAGCAGGAACAGGCCGGGCCGGGCTGGCGACGCACACCATTGGCTTGGTGCGGGGAGCAGGAACAGGCCGGGCCGGGCTGGCGACGCGCACCATTGGCTTGGTGCGAGGGGCAGGAACAGGCCGGGCCGGGCTGGCGACGCGCACCATTGGCTTGGTGCGTGGGGCAGGAACAGGCCGGGCTGGCGACGCGCACCATTGGCTTGGTGCGAGGGGCAGGAACAGGCCGGGCCGGGCTGGCGACGCGCACCACAGGCTTGGTGCGGGGAGCAGGAACAGGCCGGGCCAGGCTGGCGACGCGCACCATAGGCTTGGTGCGGGGAGCAGGAACAGGCCAGGCCGGGCTGGCGAGACGGACTGGAAGTCTGGAGCGAAGAGCTGACACAACCCGCCCTGGCTGAATGCCTATTTTTACACACACTGTGTGCGGCATCAGCACAGGACGTACAGGGCTGTGTACTCATATTGGCACTACAGCACGTGACACTGGCGCAGGATATCCGGGACCGAGGAGGGGTACTGGAGGCCACGAGCGTTAAGCCGGCACACTCCGTCCTGGCTGCATGCCCACCTTAGCACGACACGTGCGTGGTGCTCGCACAGGGCGTACTGGACTGTGCCGGACCACTCGCGGCACAGTACGCAGCTCCGCATACCTCGGAACCTGCCCAGTCTCACGCTGCCTAGCCTGAGTACGGGGAGTTGGCTCTGCTCTACCTCTAGGCTCCGCCAACCTCCCTTCCAGCCCCCCAAACCCGGTGGCCTCCTCTCCTAATCCACAAACTTGCCCAGTAGCTGCCTCCAGCAGCCCCGTCATCCATGCCGTGTGCCCCCCCCAAATTTTTTTATTGGGGTTGCCTCTTGCGTGTCCGACGTCGGCCCGGTTGGCGCCGCTGCTCCTCTCTATGGCGCGCCTCCACCGTCTCCTCCCACGGACGCCGATCCATACCGGCCTGGATTTCCTCCCAAGTCCAGGACCCCTGCCCGTCCAAGATCTCCTCCCAAGTCCAGGCTGTCCGCTCCTGGACACGCTGCTTGGTCCTGTTTTGGTGGGATCTTCTGTCACGATCGTCGTAATAAGTGGACCAAGGTGCAGCGTGATATGCGTACATCTCTTTAATAGTGTACTGGCAACACGATACAAAATACAAAACAACCAAACGAAACGTGAAGTCCTCGGTTAACAAACACAAACCTACACGGAACAAGATCCCACAAAACACAAGTGCACAACAGGCTGCCTAAGTATGGTTCCCAATCAGAGACAACAAGCAACAGCTGATTCTCGTTGCCTCTGATTGAGAACCACCCCGGCCAACCTAGAAAACACATGAACTAGAAACTGAACATAGAACACAAAACATAGACCCTACACACCCTGGCTCAACATATAAGAGTCCCCAGAGCCAGGGCGTGACAATGGCACATTTTCAGATTCGATGTTTGAGTATGTTGCTTATGAAAAATTGCCTTTTGCGGCACTGGTGAAGTGCCAATGATTTCAGATAATACTGTTTGGCTTGTGTGTGTGTGTGTGTGTATGTGTGTGTGTGTGTGTGTGTGTGTGTGTGTGTGTGTGTGTGGTGTGTGGTGTGTGTGTTTGTGCGCGCGTCCGCACGTGTCTCACCTGGCCACCTTGGTACCGTTCCTCAGAACCTGCATGTCCACATTACAAGACCCGTTGGAGTGAGCTATGACGTTGATCTCACTGAACTCAGCCTGGATGGCAGAAAAACAGACAGATCCATCTGAAGAACTGAATGTAGAAACTACACTACCGGTCAAAAGTTTTAGAACACCTACTCATTCAAGGGTTTTTCTTTATTTTTACTATTTTCTACATTGTAGAATAATAGTGAAGACATCAAAACTATGAAATAACACATATGGAATCATGTAGTAACCAAAAAAGTGTTAAACATAATGAAGATATATTTTATATTTGAGATTCTTCAAATAGCCACCCTTTGCCTTGATGACAGCTTTGCACACTCTTGGCATTTTCTCAACCAGCTTCACCTGGAATGCTTTTCCAACAGTCTTGAAGGAGTTCCCACATATGCTGAGCACTTGTTGGCTGCTTTTTCCTTCAGTATGCGGTCTGACTCATCCCAAAACATCTCAAATTTGGTTGAGGTCGGGGGATTGTGGAGGCCAGGTCATCTGATGCAGCACTCCATCACCCTCTTTCTTGGGAAAATAGCCCTTACACAGCCTGGAGGTGTGTTGGGTCATTGTCCTGTTGAAAAACAAATGATAGTCCCACTAAGCCCAAACCAGATGGGATGGAGTATTGCTGCAGAATGCTGTGGTAGCCATGCTGGTGAAGTGTGCCTTGAATTCTAAATAAATCTCAGACAGTGTCACCAGCAAAGCACCCCCACACCATAACACCTCCTCCATGCTTTACGGTGGGAACTACACATGCGGAGATCATCCGTTCACCCACACCACGTCTCACAAAGACACAGCGGTTGCACCAAAAATCTCAAATTTGGACACCAGACCAAAGGACAAATTTCCACCGGTCTAATGTCCATTGCTCATGTTTCTTTGCCCAAGCAAGTCTCTTCTTCTTATTGGTGTCATTTAGTGGTGGTTTCTTTGAAGCAATTCGACCATGAAAGCCTGATTCACACAGTCTCCTCTGAACAGTTGATGTTGAGATGTGTCTGTTATTTGAACTCTGTGAAGTATTTATTTGAGCTGCAATTTCTGAGGCTGGTAACTCTAATGAACTTATCCTCTGCAGCAGAAGTAACTCTGGGTCTTCCATTCCTGAGGCGGTCCTCATGAGAGCCATTTTCATCATAGTGCTTGATGGTTTTTGCGACTGCACTTGAAGAAACTTTAAAAGTTCTTGAAATGTTCCATATTGACTGACCTTCATGTCTTAAAGTAATGATGGACTGTCTTCTGTATACCCCCCCCCCCCCCCTACCTTGTCACAACACAACTGATTGGCTCAAATGCATTAAGAAGGAAAGAAATTCCACAAATTAACTTTTACGAAGGCACACCTGTTAATTGAAATGCATTCCAGGTGACTACCTCATGAAGCTTGTTGAGAGAATGCCAAGAGTGTGCAAAGCTATCATCAAGGCAAAGGGTGGCTATTTTAAGAATCTCAAATATAAAATATATTTAACTTTTAACACTTTTTTGGTTACTACATGATTCCATATGTGCTATTTCATAGTTTTGATGTCTTCACTATTATTCTACAATGTAGAAAATAGTAAAAATAAAGAAAAACCCTTGAATGAGTAGGTGTTCTAAAACCTTTGACCGGTAGTGTATATCAATAGTCATAAATACAGCATAGATCAGAGGAGGCTGGTGGGAGGAGCTACAGTGCCTTGCGAAAGTATTCACCCCCCTTGGCATTTTGCCTATTTTGTTGCCTTACAACCTGGAATTAAAATGGATTTTTGGTGGGTTTGTATCATTTGATTTACACAACATGCCTACCACTTTGAAGATGCAAAATATTTTTTATTGTGAAACAAACAACAAATAAGACAAAAAAAACTTGAGCGTGCATAACTATTCACCCCCCGAAAGTCAATACTTTGTAGAGCCACCTTTTGCAGCAATTACAGCTGCAGCTCTCTTGGAGTATGTCTCTATAAGCTTGGCACATCTAGCCACTGGGATTTTTGCCCATTCTTCAAGGCAAAACTGCTCCAGCTCCTTCAAGTTGGATGGATTCTGCTGGTGTGCAGCAATCTTTAAGTCAAACCACAAATTCCCAATTGAATTGAGGTCTGGGCTTTGACTAGGCCATTCCAAGACATTTAAATGTTTCCCCTTAAACCACTTGAGTGTTGCTTTAGCAGTATGCTTAGGGTCATTGTCCTGCTGGAAGGTGAACCTCCATCCCAGTCTCAAATCTCTGGAAGACTGAAACAGGTTTCCCTCAATAATTTCCCTTTATTTAGCGCCATCCATCATTCCTTCAATTCTGACCAGTTTCCCAGTCCCTGCCGATGAAAAACATGCCCACAGCATGATGCTGCCACCACCATGCTTCACTGTGGGGATGGTGTTCTCGGGGTGATGAGAGGTGTTGGGTTTGCGCCAGACATAGAGTTTTCCTTGATGGCCAAAAAGCTCAATTATAGTCTCATCTGACCAGAGTACCTTCTTCCATATGTTTGGGGAGTCTCCCACATGCCTTTTGGCGAACACCAAACGTGTTTGCTTATTTTTTTCTTGAAGCAATGGGTTTTTTCTGACCACTCTTCCGTAAAGCCCAGCTCTGTGGTGTGTACGGCTTAAAGTGGTCCTATGGACAGATACTCCAATCTCTGCTGTGAGTTTTGCAGCTCCTTTTGCAGGGTTATATTTCTTTGTTGCCTCTCTGATTAAAGCCCTTCTTGCCTGGTCTGTGACTTTTGGTGGGTGGCACTCTCTTGGCAGGTTTGTTGTGGTGCCATATTCTTTCCATTTTGTAATAATGGATTTAATGGTGCTCCGTGGGATGTTCAAAGTTTCTGATATTTTTTTATAACCCAACCCTGATCTGTACTTCTCCACAACTTTGTCCCTGACCTGTTTGGAGAGCTCCTTGGTCTTCATGGTGCCGCTTGCTTGGTGGTGTCCTTTGCTTAGTGGTGTTGCAGACTCTGGGGCCTTTCAGAACAGGTGTATATATACTGAGATCATTTGACAGATCATGTGACACTTAGACTGCACACAGGTGGACTTTATTTAACTAATTATGTGACTTCTGGAGGTTATTGGTTGCACCAGATCTTATTTAGGGGCTTCATAGCAAAGGGGGTGAATACATATGCACGCACCACTTTTCCGTTATTTATTTATTCGAATTTTTTGAAACAAGTAATTTTTTTCATTTCACTTCACCAATTTGGACTATTTTGTGTATGTCTATTACATGAAATCCAAATAAAAATCCATTTAAATTACAGGTTGTAATGCAACAAAATAGGAAAAACGCCAAGGGGGATGAATACTTTTGCAAGGCACTGTATACAGTTGAAGTGGGAAGTTTACATACACTTAGGTTGGAGTAATTAAAACTTGTTTTTCAACCACTCCACAAATTTCTTGTTAACAAACTATAGTTTTGGCAAGTCGGTTAGGATATCTACTTTGTGCATGACACAAGTAATTTTTCCAACAAATGTTTACAGACAAATTATTTCACTTATAATTCACTGTATCACAATTCCAGTGGGTCAGAAGTTTACATACACTAAGTTGACTGTCCCTTTAAACAGCTTGGAAAATTCCAGAAAATGATGTCATGGCTTTAGAAGCTTCTGATAGGCTAATTGACATAATTTTAGTCAATTGGAGGTGTACCTGTGGATGTATTTCAAGGCCTACCTTCAAACTCATGCCTCTTTGCTTGACATCATGGGAAAATCAAAAGAAATCAGCCAAGACCTCAGAAAACAATTTGTAGACCTCCACAAGTCTGGTTCATCCTTGGGAGCAATTTCCAAATGCCTGAAGGTACCACGTTCATCTGTACAAACAATAGTACGCAAGTATAAACACCATGGGACCACGCAGCCGTCATACCGCTCAGGAAGGAGACGCGCTCTGTCTCCTAGAGATTAACGTAGTTTGGTGCGAAAAGTGCAAATCAATCCCAGAACAACAGCAAAGGACCTTGTGAAGATGCTGGAGGAAAAACAAGTCCTATATCGACAAAACCTGAAAGGCTGCTTAGCAAGGAAGAAGCCACTGCTCCAAAACCGCCTTAGAAAGGCCAGACTACGGTTTGCAACTGCACATGGGGACAAAGATCGTACTTTTTGGAGAAATGCCCTCTGGTCTGATGAAACAAAAATAGAACTGTTTGGCCATAATGACCATCGTTATGTTTGGAGGAAAAAGGGGAACGCTTACAAGCCGAAGAACACCATCCCAACCGTGAAGCTGTGGGGGTGCTTTGCTGCAGGAGGGACTGGTGCACTTCACAAAATAGATGGCATCATGAGGAAGGAAAATTATGTGGATATATATTGAAGCAACATCTCAAGACATCAGTCAGGAAGTTAAAGCTTGGTCGCAAATGGGTCTTCCAAATGGACAATGACCCCAAGCATACTTCCAAAGTTGTGGCAAAATGGCTTAAGGACAACAAAGGACAACAAATACTACCAAATACTAATTGAGTGTATGTAAACTTCTGACCCACTGGGAATGTGATGAAAGAAATAAAAGCTGAAATAAATCATTCTCTCTACTATTATTCTGACATTTCACATTCTTAAAATAAAGTGGTGATCCTAACTGACCTAAGACAGGGAATTTTTACTAGGATTAAATGTCAGGAATTGTGAAAAACTGAGTTTAAATGTATTTGGCTAAGGTGTATGTAAACTTCCGACTTCAACTGTATATGTATTGGCTGGAATGGAATAAAAGTATCTATGTAGACAACTCTATCTGAGACAGATGCCAAAAGTAAATCGACGCAGTTTGCCTATCGAGGCTTACCTGTTCCACTTTGATGTCATAATCTCCGTGTACTTTCTTCCCTCTGAAGAGTTTGGCCCTAGGCAACAGGGAAGATAATTGATTAACCTTTAGAGGACATGGTGAGATAACACTGATAGATCCTTCTGCTATTGATTCCTTGTGATCACGTTTCTTTGTGAACGCCTTCCATCAATTTACAATCACAAATGGCTCCAGTCAATATTGAATAAGACACACTTCATTGACTTTAAAATGCATCAATATGGATTTTATGGAGCAAAGACTTTAAATACACACCACACCATTACCAAAACATTCTGTCTTGTGACACATTCCCCTCAGATAAACATGTCATGGCGAATTGTTAAAGTGATAAAGTCAAGGTAGTGTCATCTCCACTACTAATCACTTTTTTATGTTATGATTAGTTTTAGTCCTTTTATGAAATTTAAGTAGTCCCCCGTGTTGCAGCATTTGCTTCCATCTAGTGGATCTTACCTGAATGGTGCATTGCAGTCAAAAGCCCTCAGAACGAGATTCATTTTACAATTCCATAAAATGGCTGAAATTATCTGGCTCAATAGCGCATCCAGTGTTAATATCAGCTTAGCATTGAGCTATGTCTGTACAGAGGTACTGGCACTCATTCTCTGCAGACAGGCAGGCTGGGCATTATTGAACCCATACACAGTGCATTTATTGAATTGAACCACAGACAAAGAGAGGAGACCTTCGTCATGCTCTTAAAGTGATGAGCGAGGGGAAGGGAGGTTAATCAATGGAGACAAACTTAGTGACCTGAAACAAACTAAGTGTCAGGGGACTGTTGAAAGCATTGCCTCTCCTCTCGTCAGTGTTGCCATGGTGTTGCTCTTAGCCAATGAACTATGTCAAGCTTTTCAATGGCCGAAACTTCAACTGGAACCATGCTGTAGAGAAGTGTACAGATTTCAATGGGATACTCCTCCACTAAAGATTACAAAATGGCTGTTCTCTACGGAGGTCTAAAACCCCAAACAGTCTTCTGACAAACCTTCTCTAAAATGCTGCTGTATAGTTCAATGGCCAAAGTAACCAAAAGGTGCTGCATATAGGCCTACAGTAGAGCCATACAAAGTTTCAATGGCCAGCATATATTCAACTTTCTATTGAAATGACACATAGCAGTGAGCACCGAAGCCTACTAGCAGAAGAAAAATACTATTGGAAAAATGATTCGATATATCTTCTACTTGTTTGTTTCATGTCAGTACCGTTTGTCAAACACACCCTAGTGAGGACTGGCTGAATAATTTATTGCTGATCTAATTTGAGTCTGGGATTTATCTGTGGCTGTGGAGGAAAACAATAATCTGAATATGAGTCACAGCAGCACAGTCACAGGGAATGAAAAGCCTGTAGATTATCTGTGTTATGATAAATTGATATATGTGGGGCTGCCAAAGACATGACTCAGAAACAGAACCACAGTGACAATGCCTGAAATTGTAGATAGGTCAGTGTTGGTTTAAGGAATGGGTATCACGACTGTCTCCCTGATTCAGTTCCTACTTGTGGAGGATGTACTGAATGTATGTGTATAGCGGAGGTGGTTCAGAATCACACTCACATGATGAGTAACCTTCCTTGACACCTGAATACCTGCATTAGTTTCCCTAGTTAATGCTTAGATTTTAGCTCAGCGAGTTAACACAGTTTTATTGATCCCAGGAGGCCTGGGTTCAAACCCCAGTTGGTTACATTAAATAGGCCTATGCATTGAGGCAAAGATAATTAAACCTACAATCAACTGATTGATCTTTGCTTTTTTGCTCTGCACCCTGACCATTGCACATGCTAACAACACCTTCCTGCATTAAATGAAGTACATGCCACTTGTTAAAATAATTATTTGATTAAATATTGAATTTGGCCTTTACTACTATAGCCCATAGAAACGCATTGAATAACACATTCATAAATGGCAAAACAGACAGTCAAAAAATAAATCATAAGGAATAAGGTTTTGAAGTTTCTTTCCTATATCTCGGAGATACAGTTTAAGAAAGATCAGGAAATATGTTTTTTTTTGTTTTTGTTTTTTTTCATATATTTAACCCCATTTTTTTGTTGGCACAAAACTACCACCATACTTCCATTAATTTTTTACACCAGTACCTGGTTGTACAGCAAAATGGAGAACACCATCGTGTTCGTGAGAGTCTCCCGTTTCCATAGTGGGGTCATATTTGTTTGTAGGCCAAACGGTTCGGACGCTACATACAGAAGTTTGCAAATCGGTGGTACCAACTTCAGACGTGTCCCGTTGGGCTTGTGGGGGTCGTAGAGCAAAATGGAGAAACACCATCCTGTTCATGAGAGTATCATCTTTCCATAGAGTGGTCATATGAGTTCGGATGCTACAGACATTTTCATGAGAAGACCGATTTTCAGGATGTCTCCTGGCCTTACAAACAGCGCTGTAGCTCTGCCACTTTCCACCCCAAATGCGGGAGGCCGACATAGGCGGATGCTGTGGATTGAGATGTAGCCCATGCAAAAAAACATATCTCTATCTTAAATTGACAGATTTTTATGGAGATTGTTATATTATGTTAATTAGATAGACTCTTAAGGATTATGAGTGAAAGAGAGAGAGAGAGAGAGAGAGAGAGAGAGAGAGAGAGAGAGAGAGAGAGAGAGAGAGAGAGAGAGAGAGAGAGAGAGAGAGAGAGAGAGAGAGAGAGAGAGAGAGAGAGAGAGAGAGAGAGAGAGAGAGAGAGAGAGAGAGAGAGAGAGAGAGAGAGCACAAGAGCAAATATTGGAGGGGCATTCCAGTAGCTAATTTCTGTAAATCAACATGGACATTGAGGAGACAAATGAAAGAAGTAATGAGAAACAGAAGAGCGAGCTAAAGGCATCTGTTGATCTTCACTGACTGATGGAATCACATTGCTATGCAAATTGCAGATTGCAGATTGCTTGAGCAGGTTAGGATGGAGAAACAATAGCCGGAGGTAATCAAATTGTTTGCATGAAAATAGGACAGTTCAGATGCTCAATTGCACAACGTATTTCAAATGGCCTCTAAAAATATTTGTTTCTGAAAGAGTGAGATGATTCAGAGATGAGTTTGACAGGTTGGGGTGGGATGGAGGCATGCATAAGCCTACCTGAATACTAATGTATCATTAACATTTGCTTCCTCCCATTGTGAAAACATGGCCAAGACAGTTAATAGTGCCTTCCGTTTGATCAGTGATTTACCAAATAACCAGTGATTAGTTGATTTAGATGAATATGTCAAACAAAGGCAAACTTAATTATGATAATTTTGCACTGCAAGTCTGACTAACAGGCCTATTTTGTCTTAATTTTCCTAGTCAGTATGTGACCTCCACTCTACAACACTGAGTGAATGAGTAATGGCTATTGCTGTCTCTCTACTGTACGAGGCAAGAGCAAACCTCTGACACTTGTCTGATAAGTGAGACAGTTCCATCTGTCCTTGTCCACCTTGTGATGTATAGCACAGCATTCCTGTCACAAGACATACCCAATCCTAACCGTAACCATCTGATCCTTTATCAGAGGTTAGGGGAAGCTTCTAGTCCTGAAGCAATAAGGCCCAATGGGGTGTGGTATATGGCCAATATACCACGGCAAAGGGCAGATCTAATGCACGACGCAACGCGGAGTGCCTGGATACAGCCCTTAGCCGTGGTATTTTGGACATATACTTCAAAACCCTGAGGTGCCTTATTGCTATTATAAACTGGTTATCAATGTAATTAGACCTGTAAAAATATGTATTTTTGTCATACCCATGCTATACGGTCTGATATATCTTGGCTTTCAGCCAATCAGCATTCAGGGCTCGAACCACCCAGTTTATAATCTCCTATATTTCTGTGTTTATTTCTGTCTTCAGGAAATTGCTATTACTTATTCTACTACTTATTTTATCTGATCTCCAAACCTCTGAAACAGAGCAACTCAAGCAGTAGTCCAACTCATCTCACCATGCTAGTATATCAATGAGATCTGAAGAGGCGTCTTTAGCATGCCATATTTGTGACACATCCAGTATAATGGTAATGGTGATCTGGCCTACATGCTTCATTCCTACAATGCACAAAGTCAATACAGAACCACTAGAGAGTATGTAATCTTAAAGCCATTTGAAAGTCTGTCAGTCGAGGGGAAATTGCCATGCCACTTCCAACAGGTAGCAGGCAAAGAGCAGCCAGGGACTAGAAGTGCTGCTTTGTTCTGATGTTTCCTTCTGAGGCAGGATGATATTGCACTGAGCAGCTATTCTGTGAGTGAGTGAGTGCTGTCCCATTTCTGTTAGGGTTTCATAAAGGAAGACTGTTCTCTAGATAACACTTTAATAACAGATAACACGTTGTCTTAGGCCTTTGGCTGTAGTGCATCTTTAGACAGTTCAACTCCAGCTCAACAACCTCTGACACCACAGTATGCTCATGCTAAATGTATAGGAGGCAGATGCAGATAACATACTTTGACAAGGGAATTGTACACTTCATGGCATTATTTGCATTGTACATGGAAAGAGGAGTTAATGTAAATGTAAAGCTAGGATAATTAGGCATTTGAGGGCAGCAGTGTCAGACGGTTGATCTGATATACGTACAGGCCTGGGGTCAGTCCTAGAGCCATGATCTCTGCTACAAGGACAGCATGATATATGTGGTACACAGTGGGAGAGTGTCATCATGCTGAAACAATACCCTTTCATACGACTACAGAAGCCAGGATCTATTCACAAAAAGCTAGAATACGCCACATAAAGACAAATATCATTTTCACAAAAAACATGACACTGTGAAATACTTGAAGCAATTACTTCTAATTGCATTTTCATTAGATTAGCTAAATATATAATCACACTAATGGAGGGATGATTTGGCATAATCACTGTCACTGAGGCAAGCTTTGGTCATTATACTAGTGTGCTATTCTCCAGTTTATCACATTTTGAGAAAATTCTCTGTTTGGTTTCTAGCAAGTTAATTTGTCTAGCTCTCCATAGCAACTAACAGTCTCATTAAGATAGTTGAGTAGGAGAGAAGGGGAGGAAAGGTTTATTAAATGCCTGCAGTGATAATGCCAAGAAACAAGTACTGTCAGCAACAACATTCACAACTATAATAATAAGGACATAAACTGTGAAAGATGTTAGCGCATTGCTACCATGCAATAATCAGCAGCAGGTTTGTGTTTAGGCCTGAAACCAGTGGTCATAGCCTAGCTTAGCCTTCTGTTGTGTTAGTGAGTCTGGAGTATTCCTGTCGGATTCCATTTCAGTGTATGTCCTAAGGCTACTATACTGGGGCTTGTCAGCCTCTGTCTTTATCTCCTGCACAGGGCACAACATTTCTGACCCAGAAACCGCCCCTCCAACACTAAAACACAACCCTCAAAGCCCCTCTAGCCAAGAGTTCAGAGCTGACGTCACATGAGGTTGGCCTACAGACTAAAAATGATCAGGTCTGAAAACGGAGGAGATGTAGGAAACACTAAAGTTGTAAAATATTGTCTGAAGTAGATATCTGATAATTTTATGGGTTAAATACTGTTCTTGTTCAAACAGAATATCTTGTATTCCAATATTCCAGACTCAAAGACAATTAAGTGATTACGTATTCATCACATCTATATATGTAATTAGGCCTATGCTCTTTATGGTGACATCAGTAACCTTTATTAACAATGAATCACCACCACAGACATGCTAATACGGATATTTTACTGGGCACTGAAAGACAAGCTAATGTCAACGCCTAAGTAAAAACCTACAGTCATAAACAGCTCATCCTTATGAAATACAACCGCAAGCTAAAAGGCCAAAGAGTAACGAGAAATTACACAATCAATGGGGCAATCAGACAGAGGCAAAAGTCCCCTAGCTAGCTCTCCTACTGTTTAACAGATTGCTGTTGGTCACCAATCCCAAAGAGTGTAAAAGGTGAGAGGGCCTCAGAACTGAATCACTGTTATTGTAGACACATACATTTACATTTTAGTCATTTAGCAGACGCTCTTATCCAGAGCGACTTACAGTTAGTGCATACAATTTTTCATACTGGCCCCCCATGGGAATCGAACCCACAACCCTGGCGTTGCAAATGCCATGCTCTACCAACTGAGCTACATCCCTGCCGGCCATTCCCTCCCCTACCCTGGACGACGCTGGGCCAATTGTGCGCCGCCCCATGGGTCTCCCGGTCGCGGCCGGCTACGACAGAGCCACATCTACACATGAAATGTAGATGTGGTGCTGAGCCTGAGGCAGGCTTTGGGAGCGAGTGGCAGGTCTCTCTAGTGGCTAAGTGGTGGAAACATGAAACAGGGAAACAGCTAACGATGCCAGGAGAGGCATCAAATCAAATTGTATTCGTCACATGCTTCGTAAATAACAAGTGTAGACTAACAGTGAAATGCTTACTTACGGACCCTTCCCAACAATAGAGAGAGAAAGAAAATAGAGAAATAATAGAAAAGTAATGGCTCTACGGCTGGTATGTGAAAGGTAACGTAATTTACTCAGATGTCTTCAATGTTTCCATAACTGTTTTTGATGTCAAATCAAATGTTATTTGTCACATGCAGTGAATACAACAGGTGTAGACCTTATAGGGAAATGCTTACTTACAAGCTCTTTCCCAGTTCAAAATAATTGAGTAAAGACACAAGATAAATAAAAACATGCAAGAATAGGGCTATATACGGGGAGTACTGTATCAATGTGCAGGGGTACCAGGTAGTTGAGGTAGGTACTGTATGTACATTAAGGCAGGGGTAAAGTGACTAGGCATCAGGATAGATAATAATAATTATTATTATTATAATAATAGTAAAAAAACAAAGTAGCAGCAGCATATATGATTAGTGAATGTGTACATGTGTGAAAGTGTGTGTGTGTGTGTGTGCGGTGTCAGTATGCGTGTGTGGGTTATGTGTGTGTGTATGTAAGTGTATGTAAGTATGTGTTTGTGGCATCGGTATGCGTGTGAATGTGTTTGTGGGTTATGTGTGTGTGTGTATATAAGTGTATGTGTGTATGTTAGTGTAAGTATGTGTGAGTGTGTGGATAGTCCTGTGAGTGTGCATAGAGTCAGTGCAGATAGTCCGGTCATGATTCGCATTACTGTATGTGGTATTAGACCGAAAACAATCCAGGTACATTTAATGATTATTTAATGATTATAGATGCATTCCCATATCCCATAAGAAAACAATGATTATATTTATTCTCAGGTCGTTGACTGTCTGCTCTTATGTGGAGCCAAAAAACATGGCATCATTTAAAATGCCATGAGTATGATCTTATTAGGATTTATCTGGGTTTCTATTACCTAAATGGGCTCCCTCAGCCGTGATACAATGTGACGTGTATTCAAATATCTAGCATTACTTAGGCTATAGGCTATATCCGCAGTGCAAGCATAGTGATCCTCATTGTTAAAAGGAGCTTGCACTGATTCAACATACACACCAATATCATAAATGCATCTGCAGTATGCCAAATGCCAATAAACGTTATCCGTCCACTCTGCCTTTGTTATTGTAGTAGCAGCCATTTTGCATGGTGAGATGAATCATGCACACACACAGGACTCAACCTGGAATAGCCACTCTCCAGAAAGCAACATGTCATCCAAATGCAGATGTGTCCCTCAGGCTACAGTTTCCATCTGCATATAGACCACTCTATATAGCCTACTGCACATAGCCTACTGTATATAGCTACACATGTCTGAGGAAAATCAGCAGATGCTGAGGAACCCTTTTCAAACAAGTAACCATCAACACTACATAGAAGCAAATATACCTAGTTAATGTGAATTCACAAGACAAAACACATAGCAAGAATCACAAAACAATCACAAAATCTAAAAACATTGATCTTCATGCTACCTTCTTCATGACTCTGGTATGTGATAATGTAGGCCTACTATCTACAATATATTTTGCATTTACCTCTTCAAAGCAAGATATGCGATTTTACAGAACATTGGAAAAATATTATTAAAGTAGCTCTTAGGAGAGCCAACAGCTACCTGTCAGTGCTGCTGTGAAAACCCTTTAAAGGCCCAGTGCAGTCAAAATTCAGTTTTTCCTGTGTTTTGTATCATATTGTACAACAGCTGATGAAACATACTTCTAATCAGCAGGGTTTTTGCATGGGTAGAGTTTTGGCCTGACTGGTGACATCACCAGGCAGTATAAGTTCATATAGACCAATAACAAAGAGAGTTACAAACCTCTCTGCCAATAACAACTAGTTTTCTGATTACATATCCCTCCCCCTCCTCACTCAGACCACTCCCAGACCATCTTAGTAAAATTCTTGCTTGAGAAATAGTTTTTGCTAAAAAGCTATTTCTGTTTCTTTTTGACAATTTTAATGCAAAACTATTACAGTAAGGTACTTAATTGTTGTCCAGAAATGATTTGATATTCAGACAAAAAAACAGCTGCATTGGGCCTTTAATATATGCCATCTGCTCTTTGGATTCATGTCATGATCTGCCTTCTCTCCTGCCTGCCTCCTACTCAACACACAGCATTAAAGAGAGGTGTCCGCCTGAACTAGCATTGTAATGCAGAGCACACACATAACATCATTTTTAACTCAATTTCTTCAAGTGCTACTACTAGCCTATGTATCACCTATTCATACAATGATGCCATGTGTTGTCTTTGCATGACTGGCCAAAGATAAAGTCTGTGGATTGACTCTCTGTGATGGTAGACAGGTGGTCGTGTGACCAGGGATCCTATCATTGAGCGGGAAGGGAAAGGGAACCTCAATGATGACTGGAAAGCACTGCAGTCTTTACTCAATAGTGAAAAGACACATGCATTTTCCCATGCCCACACTGGCTGTTGAATATTCATGCAATTGCCTTTCTCCACAATGATGCAAAGCCACGAAAGAGTGCACTGGGTTGAACAGACTAATCAATTAAATGGGTTTAAGTCTGGCGCATGCTCACAGGTGGTTGCAAGAAACTGACCTAATATAAAAAATAGCAGCAGAATGCACATGGGTTTCTTGGAATACCAAGTCAACCCTCCTCAAAATATATAGAATTGTCCTCCTGCTGCAAGGCCAATCTGTCATTTTGAAATGTGAATCATGTCAAAAAGGACATAAACCACTGAATGCCTGTCAATTACTGCAGGAAACCACTGTATTTGGGTGAGGCAAGCAATAAAAAGACTCCCTGATGCTGTAATGTCATTAACATGGTGAGTCAGTCAGTGGACTTTGTTTCCTCCTCTCCTCCTGAGCAGCAGCATCTGTGTTTTGTCATTAGAGCGACATGCACTGGCATTAGACCACCCACAGCAGTAACCTGATCAAATCTGATCTGCAGACAGGTTGTTTTAACCATTACTTTACCACAAGCCAGGTCCATCTGAGAGCTCCTCTTTTCAAGAAGGAACCTGAGCAGAATATCTGTTTTACAACAGTGACCTGGCCAAGAGGGCAGCTCCAACGTTACAGAACACAAACAACACATACATCAACACATCAATAATTCACATCATTACATCACACCATTCTACAGCAAGACACAGTATGTTGCCTCACCATTCCTGTTGTGGTTCGTCGATGACCAGGAGGATCTTAAACTTCTTGGGCGTCGTGACCGTGGTCTGCTCCACCAGTCCTGCCGAGGCCGCAGTCTGCTTGACTACGTTGGTGATGGAGCTGAAGAAGCCTGCCCCACTGGACTGTGACTGCTGGGGTTTCCTCTCCGGGGCCGGGGAGGGGGTAGGGGAGGTGGCGGGCGGCGTGGTCCCAGCCGTGGGAGACTTGGCTGGGCCTGCTGTAGCTGGGGGAGGAGGCTGAGCAGGGTCAGGCCTCTGGAGGTCCGTCATGTAGCCATTGGGAAGGTTGGAGATGAAGGTGCTGTCAGAGAGGCGCCGACGCAGGTAATTCATAGCTGGAGAAGATGGAGGGCTGTTAGAGCAGACAGAGCAGACGAATCAACAAGGGCTGGATGTGAAGAGTCCTTAGGGGAACGGTCGAGGCCAAACGATGTCACCTGAGGGTCGGATTAATTTGCAGAAGGCGCCACTTCCCAGGATGCAGCTGGTTGAAGGCTCAGCTCTTCTCCATGCAAACTCCCAGTGAATGTAATGTGTTTCCTCCCAGCTCAGCCGTGCATCCTCAGAGCTCCCCTCACTGTGGCCGTGACGCTATTCTCCCCCTCAGCCAATCGCCTGCCTCTCTGCTAGCCTGAACGACTGCAAGAGATGCACACGCTCTCCCTCCCTCTTCTCCTCTCCTCCATACTCCCACTCATTCGTATTGTGTCGTGCCTGCCTCCTCTACCCCTCCCCCCATTCTGTACTGCCTCACAAGAGTCACGTCTCTTCGTACCACTGCAAAAAAAAAAGAAAAAAGGGGGAAGTGGGGTTTCCAATGGAAATGCACATGGTAGTAATATAGAGGAAACCTCCAACACAGCCTGCCCCTTCTCTCTCCTTATGATGCCTCTATATCCATAGCTGCCTGTGCCTAATACAGCTATGAGGATGGAGAGAGAAAATGGCTGTTTGGTCTGCTGTCAGTGTGGCTTGCGGAAGGAGAGGCAGGCAAGTGGCAGCAGCAGTCCCCTGGGACACCAATGCATGCTGTAGTGTTAACCCCCTCCTTCACGTTGCCATGTGATGGATTCATCCCCATCCCCATAAAGCAGATAATTTAGCTGAGGAAAGCCCCGTGCAGCCATTCTGATTCATCCAAGTGGATTTCCCACTAGAGGTGATTTAAACACAGTATTTTTTGTTAATATTGACCTATCTTTACTATTGCACATGACTAACATGGTTTTTAATGTGGGTGTGTAGAGGTCTGCATAATGTATGATTGGGCAGCTTTGCTCTTGCTGCAATTAGATTAATTCCCATAATACCATGCTATCTAATTATTTTTTCAGATAGGCTACTGATCATCACAGTCTTTTCTATGGCTTTGATGGTGTAAAAGAATATGAATTAGTATAGTCAAATAGTATACAATATACTGCAGCACTGTTTAATATTTGGGAGAGTTTTTGTAATAGTATTTGAGAAAAGCTCATAAAAAATACAAATGTTTGCATACACAGATTAAATGCTGTATGTCACGTTGCCTACTGCCAATTTGTATGTAGCCTTCTTGTTCACTTGAGATACCATAATTAATTCCCTGCTCTGTCTTGAGTGTTTGATAACATCCTTAAAAGCCATTGTCAGACAAATTATGTACTGTGAAATATGAAGAAAAATACTATGCTAATGATGACGCTGTACTGTATTTTACGCCATTATTATAGTAGGGCATGAATCATGTTCTCCCACATAACACATTGACCTCAGAGGTGCTCTTTCCCTCAGGCAATGTTATTACATGTCATGCTGCTCCTCTACAGCTCTAGGCTATTCGCTGCACCGAGTGTAGAACGCATTGTAACCAGTGGCAGAAAATGTATCTCCATGGAAACTGGCATTAGAAATCTGCTATTCTCTCAGGTAGGGTGATAAGTGTAGAGATTGTGGAATGTAAATGTGATCAGACCTGATTTAGACAGAAAGGAAGGACACAAGTCTTAATGAGTAGGAGGACAACAGTGGTTGATATGAGGGTAGAGACTTCTGCAAACGACACTAGTAAATTACTATGATCATCCCATCACCTACAAATACATTATATAATATATTGTAGAAAATTCGGGAGGTAGCCCCGACCGGGACTCGAACCCACGTCCAGCGACTGTCAAGCCAAAACCTTAATAGTTACACCAAGACGTCCGAACCGCTTGACAAGGTCGCTAGGTGTTGGGTTAAGGTCACTACATTACCCCCTTCCTTCAGGACTGCGAGTTCCCAAGCTTCTCTATACCAATTCCCTCACGTGTACATGCCTCTCCGATGGCTTCACAGGCACTATCCCACTTCTGACACCAACAGCGGATTTGTGGGATAGCCCTAACCAGGACTCAAAACCAGGTCCAGCGACTGTCAACCATTACGCCAAGAGGTCCGAACCCTTTGACAAGGTCGCTAGGTGTTGTCGCTAAATTATTAACACATTATAAACACGCTCATAAAGACATAATCCAGTCATCGTGATGTAATATCTTTAGTTAAACATACAATATCATTAGGCCTAATGACCCATAGGCCTATGGTATCATATTTCACCTGCCGTTTATTTTGTGGCGAGGATCCCATACCCATAGGCTTATAAAGGTTTTAGATAATGAGTTGCATACCTTTACATTACATACCATCCATAATGCAGACCCCTGAGTCTGGTTCCTCTCAAGGTGTTATCCTTCCAGAGAGTATGATCCTTGCTATGTGCTTGGGGAGTCTAGGCCGGGTTACTGTCCAAAAAACAAGTTGACCAACAAAAACTTCCATGGACACTATTAAATATATAAATCAGCCTAATAATGAACCCATGTATTGATGTGAAAACAGATTTGTATTTATATGAATTAATCTATTATGTTTGTAAAATGTAAAACATTTTTTAATAAAGATTATAAAAATAAAAGTAAAGCAGAGGTTTTCAATCTTTTCCATTCCGGGGCGAAATGTCTGAAACACAAAAAAATGATGGGAACTCCCTATATCAGAGATCACATTTTTAAGAGTAAAATGTGTGCTCAATATTCACTGTAAACACTCAACATTGAAAATTACACAATGTTTTAAAACAGCTCTTCCAAATGTGATATATTTTGGCCTTGTAGTATTTTCAATGTATTAGCTAGTTGCTTTTCAGACCACCAGGAGTCGAAACTCAAGAATCACTAGGTTTATGACTAATCTGAATACAAAAACCAAACAGCTCTCAGGAAAAATTAAGTTATTCTATTTGCTTCAAGTGAAGCGTTACCGAAGACTTGACCTCTCTCTTGCTTGTCAAAATCCCCCCTTTGTGTGGCCCCTTCGTTCAGTGGGGCCTGACGCACAGAACCTTGTAGTAAATTGAGAGGGGTCGTGGGAGAGAAGATAGTCACCAGGGTTAGTTGGCTAGCTAGCTAGCTTAGTTAGCAGCTTCACTGTCTAGCTAGGCTGTGTCTGAGATGTGGCGCAACGTCCCTTTTGTCTGAAAACTGCGGAAAAAATTGTAATACCGATGGAACCAGCGAACTGATTTTCGAACGTTGATCCACAGTTCGTTTTGACTATCGATCATCTGATCTGGACCTCGAACACATTGTAAGTTTATATCTGTGGGTTTGACCAACTTTGAAAAAGTTAGCTAGCGTCTTAGCTAACTTTAGCTGCTTGCACTAGCTCAGCTAGCTTCTTAGTAGCTTACTACCAAGGTAGTTAGTTAGCCTAGCCACTTATCCAATGTTTACAGGCGAAGAGGGCCATTTGACACGGACGCATTGGCTAGCTAGTTCGCAGAGGTTGCTAAACTATTAGCTATGACGTTAGATAGCTAATGTTATGTATTTGGTACAGCAACGCGTGTACTCGAACGTTATCGTTACCTAGCTAGCTACTAACTAATATTTTATATTATATTCTAGGACGGACACTTACTGGCTAGCTGGCTAGCTAGCTGCTATTTTGCTAACTTTGATGTTAGCAAGTAGCCAGTACGCGTAAATGGTTTTCACGAGAATGGACCTGTTGAACTATCAGTTCCTGGACAAAATGAACAACAATATCGGGAGACTACACTACGAAGGTAAGGGAGAATAACTCATTTTCAATAGCTAGCTAAATCTGTTATCGGCCTAATCCTAGCTGCTCGTTAGTCACTCACGTTAACTAACTACAGTAACTAACGTTAACTAACTAGTAGCCCTCGTAACTAGTTCAGATAGTTAGCAAACAGTGGTGGAAAAAGTACAAAATTGTATGAAAGTCTAAGTATTTGGTTTTAAATGTAACTTAAAAGTATAGATCATTTCTAATTCCTTATATTAAACATACCAGACGGCACCCTTTTTTGTTTGTTTTTTAAATGTACGGATAGCCGGGGCACAGTCAGACATTATTTACAAACGAAGCATTTGTGTTTAGTGAGTCCGCCAGATCAGAGGCAGTAGGGATGACCAGGGATGTTCTCTTGACAAGTGCGTGAATTGGACAATTTTCCTGTCCTGCTAAGCATTCGAAATGTAAGGAGTACTTTTGGGTGTCAGGGAAGTAAAACGTTTTTTATTTTTTTTTGGAATGTAGGGAAGTAAAAATATAAATAGTAAAGTACAGATATCCCAAAAAACTACTTAAGTAGTACTTTAACGTATTTTTTTTTTTACTTAAGTAGGCTACTTTACACCACTGCTAGGTAGCCAGCTATCTATGCTATGGCTTCCCCCATTATTTGTTGATCAATCCATTATCACCATAACAAACCATACCGTGTGTTTAGTTAACTAGCATTAAAAGCACAATTGAATTTATTGATCAGTTTTGTAACCACTCAAATTCTAAGATTTGAGTCATTAACCAGGTTTCCATCCAACCTTTTCATGCGAGTAAAGTACAAAATGTCACGACAGGCCTGATGGAAACAGCAAATTTGTCGGTAAACTTGCCAAATGTCGACAAAACAAAATACACTTGACAAGGTGGGATCTTTTTGTGTCTGTAAAATTATGTGAGAAATGGCGGTGGAAACGCTTTTATGCGCAAATGTTGATATAATAACCATCATATCGAAGTAAACTTGGAGTCACGCGATGGCATGTTGTGGTCCTCCAACTACGACTCGGGAAAGAATGCAGTTAATTAGGATACAGATAAAATAAGTTATGATGAACTTCACAGGGGTGTAAGGTGATTAGCTTTATGCTCCTTTCCAATAAAGGAGAGGGTCTTATTCTGGTGACATGAGGTTTGATGCTTGGCTGCCATTTGACAAATTAAAATAATGCAATTTGCTATACAAATGTTATTTGCCACATGCGCCGAATACAACAGGTGTAGACATTACAGTGAAATGCTTACTTACAAGCCCTTAACCAACAATCCATTTTTTATGGGCGGCAGGTAGCTTAGTGGTTAAGAGCGTTGTGCCAGTAACCGAAAGGTCGCTGGTTCTAATCCCCGAGCCGACTAGGTGAAAAATCTGTCGATGTGCCCTTGAGCAAGGCACTTAACCCTAATTGCTCCTGTAAGTCGCTCTGGATAAGAGCGTCTGCTAAATGACCAATTATTATTATTATTATTATTATTATTATTAAAGAATAATAAAAAAAGTGTTAAGAGATAAAAAATAATAAAAAAATAACTAAAGAGCAGCAGTAAAGTAAAATAACAGTTGGGAGGCTATATACCGGGGGTACCGGTGCAGAGTCAATGTGAGGGGCTACCGGCTAGTCGAGGTAATTGAGGTAATATGTACATGTGGGTAGAGTTAAAGTGACTATGCATAAATAATAGACAGAGTAGCAGCAGCGTAAAAGAGGGGGGGGGGGGCCAGTGCAAATAGTCCGGGTAGCAATGATTAGCTGTTCAGGAGTCTTATGGCTTGGGGGTAGAAGCTGTTGAGAAGCCTTTTGGACCTAGACTTGGCGCTCCGGTACTGCTTGCCGTGCAGTAGCAGAGAGAACAGTCTATGACTAGGGTGGCTAGAGTTTTTTTTTCTTCCTCTGACACCGCCTGGTATAGAGGTCCTGGATGGCAGGAAGCTTGGCCCCAGTGATGTACTGGGCCGTACGCACTATCCTCTGTAATGCCTTGCGGTTGGAGGCCGAGCAGTTGCCATACCAGGCGGTGATGCAACCAGTCAGGATGCTCTCGATGGTGCAGCTGTATAACATTTTGAGGATCTGAGGACCCAGGCCAAATATTTTCAGTCTCCTGAGGGGGAATAGGCTTTGTCGTGCCCTCTTCACGACTGTCTTGGTGTGTTTGGACCATGATAGTTCGTTGGTGATGTGGACACCAAGGAACTTGAAGCTCTCAACCTGTTCCACTACAGCCCCGTCGATGAGAATGGGGGCGTGCTTAGTCCTCTTTTTTTCCCTGTAGACCACAATCATCTATACACTGAGTATACAAAACATTAAGAACACTTGCTCTTTCCATGACAAAGAGTGACCAGGTGAATCCAGATTAAAGCTATGATCCCTTATTAATGTCACTTGTTAAATCCTCATCAATCAGTGTAGATGAAGGAGAGGAGACAGGTTAAAGAAGGAGGAGACAGGTTAAAGAAGGATTTTTAAACCTTGAGACAATTGAGACATGGATTGTGTATGTGTGTCATTCAGAGTGGGAAAGACAATAGATTTAAGTGCCTTTGAACAGGGTATGGTAGTAGGTGCCAGGTGCACCGGTTTGTCAAGAATTGCAACGCTGCTGGGTTTTTCATGCTCAACAGTTTCCTGTGTGTATCAAGAATTGTCCACCACCCAAAGGACACATCCAGCCAACTAGACCCAACTGTGGGAAGCATTGGAGTCAACATGGGCCAGCATCCCCGTGGAACGCTTTCGACACCTTGTAGAGTCCATGCCCTGACGAGTTGAGGCTGTGCTGAGGGCAAATGGGTGGGGTGCAACTCAATATTAGGAAGGTGTTCCTAATGTTTGGTATACTCAGTATATAACGCCTTTTTTGTGTGACAAAACCATCAGTAAGGTTAAAAATGCGATGGAAACCCATTTAACTTGTATTCTGTACATAGCAATTTAACCGCAAAAGTTATTTTTATGTGCACTATGTCATCACATCATCCACAACAAATGTCATCACATCATCCGCAACAAGTCAATTTGATGGAAACACATTTCTGGTAGGAAAATGCGCATATTTTATTCATGCAGATTTTAGAATATTTGCATAAATCTGTCACCAATTGGATGGAAACCTAGCTAGTGTGGCTGCAAGGCTTGACAGACGAGGTAAAGCTAAACCTTCTCTAGCCGACTAAACTCAACTCCACGATTTATGATGGCGACTACTGTGGGCGGACTGGAGCGCCGATGTCACATTTAATGAAGATTTGATCAAAAACACAGAACAATGTCGTGTGTAATTGTGGGCTATTCTTTGGGTGCGGAAATCAGTCGTTTCTGATAAAAACATCATTTTATTTGACGTCAGAGCTCAAGTCCACCCACACTAATTACCACTCAACTCCATCGTGGATTTGAATTTAATCGGCTAAACCTTCTCTAGTCCCCACTTCTCAGGTAATGGTCACAGCTGGTAACTAGATCATGTGGGGGAGGATGGCAAACTCCTAGTATTACTGATTTAGTGTTTTAAAACGTTCTGAATACTCTGCAGTTCTACATTATTGAGACGACCACCTTGGTTTGCATGCAAGGTATAAACAGAGAGTGTTCTCTACAGCTGAATCTTCTCTCACAGGTGAGTCCAGGATGCCCTCACTGCCCTCTACAATGACCAACATGAGGACCGGTCCTCCCCCCATCTGCCCCAGCAAAAGGAAGTATGGCGAGGAGCAAGTGGACGACTGCATTGACTGTGACAACGACCACATGACCAAAATGAGTCGACTGTTTGCTGCTCAACTGTAAGTGTAAACATGTCTGTCTTAATCTACCGTTACATACTTTGAAATATTTTTTTTTACATTACAATATTTTTTTTAAATGTCAAATGTATCCAAACATTCGCTGGCATTAATATCAGAGAAGTATTGTACACAGGAGAAGTGTGCATGTATACTGAACAAAAATATAAACACAACATGCAATAATTTCAAAGATTTTACTGAGTTACAGTTCATAGAAGGAAATAATAAATTAGGCCCTAATCTATGGATTCCACATGACTGGTAATACAGATATGCATATGTTGGTCACAGATGCCCTAAAAAAAAAAAGTAGGGGCGTGGATCAGAAAACCATTCAGTATCTGGTGTGAACACCATTTGCCTCATGCAGTGCGACATCTCCTTCGCATAGAGTTAATCAGGCTGTTGATTGTGGAATGTTGTCCCACTCCTCTTCAATGGCTGTGCGAAGTTGCTGGAAATTGGCGGGAACTGGAACACGCTGTCATACACGTTGATCCAGAGCATCCCAAACATGCTCAATGGGTGACATGTCTGGTGAGTATGCAGGCCGTGGAAGAACTGAGACATTTTCAGCTTCCAGGAATTGTGTACAGATCCTTGCAACATGGGGCCATGCATTATCATGCTGAAACATGAGGTGATGGCGGCGGATGAATGGCACGACAATGGTCCTCAGGATCTCATCATGGTATCTCTGTGCATTCAAATTTCCATCGATAAAATGCAATTGTGTTCATTGTCCGTAGCTTATGCCTGCCCATACCATAACCCCACCGCCAGCATAGGGCAACGTTGACATCAGCAAACCGCTCGCCCACATAACACCATACACATGGTCTGCGGTTATGAGGCCAGGTGGACGTACAGCCAAATTCTCAAAAATTGAGTTTATATGGTATAGAAATGAACATTAAATTCTTTGGCAACAGCTCTGGTGGACATTCCTGCAGTCAGCATGCCAATTGCACACTCCCTCACAAGTTGAGACATCTGTGGCATTGTGCTGTGTGACAAAACTGCTCATTTTAGAGTGGCCTTTTATTGTCCCCAGTACAAGGTGGACCTGTGTAATGATCATGCTGTTTAATCAGCTTCTTGATATGCCACACCTGTCAGGTGGATGGATTATCTTGGCAAAGGAGGAATGCTCACTAACAGGGATGTAACAAATATGTGCACAATTTGAGAGAGAGAAGCTTTTTGTGCATCTGGAAAATTTCTGGGATCTTTTATTTCAACTCATGAAACATGGGACCAACACTTCACATGTTGCGTTTTATATTTTTGTTCAGTATAGTTATATAGTGAGGAAAAAAGTATTTGATCCCCTGCTGATTAAAGAAATGATCAGTCTATAATTTTAATGGTAGGTTTATTTGAACAGTGAGAGACAGAATAACAACAACAATATCCAGAAAAACGCATGTCAAAAATGTTATAAATTGATTTGCATTTTAATGAGGGAAATAAGTATTTGACCCCCTCTCAATCAGAAAGATTTCTGGCTCCCAGGTGTCTTTTATACAGGTAACGAGCTGAGATTAGGAGCACACTCTTAAAGGGAGTGCTCCTAATCTCAGCTTGTTACCTGTATAAAAGACACCTGTCCACAGAAGCAATCAATCAATCAGATTCCAAACTCTCCACCATGGCCAAGACCAAAGAGCTCTCCAAGGATGTCAGGGACAAGATTGTAGACCTACACAAGGCTGGAATGGGCTACAAGACCATCGCCAAGCAGCTTGGTGAGAAGGTGACAACAGTTGGTGCGATTATTCGCAAATGGAAGAAACACAAAATAACTGTCAATCTCCCTCGGCCTGGGGCTCCATGTAAGATCTCACCTCGTGGAGTTGCAATGATCATGAGAACGGTGAGGAATCAGCCCAGAACTACACGGGAGGATCTTGTCAATGATCTCAAGGCAGCTGGGACCATAGTCACCAAGAAAACAATTGGTAACACAATACGCCGTGAAGGACTGAAATCCTGCAGCGCCCGCAATTTATAACATTTTTGACATGCGTTTTTCTGGATGTTTGTGTTGTTATTCTGTCTCTCACTGTTCAAATAAACCTATCATTAAAATTATAGACTGATCGTGTCTTTGTCAGTGGGCAAACGTACAAAATCAGCAGGGGATCAAATACCTTTTTCCCTCACTGTATGTGCCAAAGTGTGTCATAAGTAAACACTGTGTCTGCTGCTCTTTAAACAATCCATGCACTGAATCCCTGCACCCTCATTAAGCGACAGTCTGTAAGGCCCAATCTCCTGACTTCAAAGCAGGGTTGATTTTAAGTGGCCTATGAATAACCGTAGCAGTTGGTGGTCTGTGTCAGGCTGTTGGTTAATCTGCCACTTGTCCTCTCTTTAACAAGGGGACAGCCTTCCGGTGGAGATAACCGCAACGACCCATGGATCCTCGGCCACAGCCCCGTGGAGCGCATCACTTCCTCCTCCAACGGCCTCCATGGCAACCACTTGTACGCCTCCATCCCCTCCTATGCGATGGACCAGCCCCTGGCTCTGACTAAAAACAGCGTGGACTCTGGACTGGGTGGCACAGAGAGGCCTGCAATGCCCGGCCCTGTGGACAGACCACAGGTAATTCTGACAATTACTAAATGCATTGGTCAGTTGTGTCTTACGTACAGTCTCGTATAGTATGTCGTTAACTTGTTTGTTTATATCTTATAGAATCGTCCCTCTGTGATCACCTGTGCTCCTGCAAGCAATCGCAATTGCAACCTGTCTCACTGCCACAAGTCTCACAGCCCCAGCCCACCCATGGATCAGAGGAAGGCCAATGGTAAATGTTTAGCACCACATTACCTTACTAATGTGGTAAATCTGTGCATAAATTGGATATAATTTGTACCATTGTGACCATGCCACTCTTGAAATGTTGATTTACTCTCCTCTCCTCTGTAATCCCAGATAACACTGCAGTCGACCCTGTGATCGAGGAGCACTTCCGCCGCAGCCTGGGGAAGAACTACAAGGAGCCCGAGCTCGTCTCCAATTCTGTGTCCATCACAGGCTCGGTGGATGACCACTTTGCCAAGGCCCTGGGGAAGACCTGGCTCCAGATCAAGGCCAAGGGGCCGGGGGGACGCCCCCACAGTCCAGAGGCCAACTCCTGAAACACTGGCTGGACCTCCCTTAATGTTGAATGGTGAACCACAACCACTTCCTTTGTCTATCGCATCAGACAAGCGCACCGATTGACCTCCCTATACCATTCATTGTCAAGCTTGACTTCCCTGAGCTCAGAACAACTCTAGACAAGATGATGAATCACCAGTTTTAATACTGTATTATACACCAAGGCTGGCCTTTTACAGACCTTGGGGGGTTCTCCCTGCTCTTATTAAATGAATGACACTCCGATCTGGGAGGATTTTATACATTTGTTCAGTTAGGGCAGTTTTGGTTTGAGTCCAAGTGTTCAAATTCTTAATTTTGAAAGCAGAAATATCCATTTGAGGAGCTCTCTATGACCAGTATTGGGCAGCCTTGATGTCAACTTGTCTTATTTGAGGTGTATCATTTTGTATATTTTTAACACTTACCCTGACAGAGATTCCCAAAACGATCAATTAATTTGGCCTTTGAGAAGGCATACTGTTCTGTCTTAACTCCCTCATGCCTTTCTTATTAACCAAAGAACTTGCCTGCTGCTTCAAACAGAAAGCCATAGTCTGCTTTGCTTCTCTTCTGTTTTCATCCTCCTGCCATCTCCGTTAACTCTCCACATGTGACCATGTGTTTGTGTGTTTTTGCTTTGAAAGGAAGGCCGGTTCTGATTTGCACTATTATGTGTTAGATTGAGGTTGTGGTAACAGCATACCTGTTTCATTTGGAGCATGCAGTACGTTTTTGTTTGTTTTAACAATACTAACAGTGGTAATGCTATCAAGGCTCTGGTCTCTCTCTGGTCCCAATGTTTCTCTATTTTTTTCTCTTTTCAACTATTCAGAACTGGACTCATGTTCTCTTTTGTGGACTTTTACGTTTTTGTTTTTATATTTTTGTTATTTTAGTACTCACTGTGGTTTATTTCGTAGATACAGTTAGTAATAAGGATAGTATTCTGCTTACCGAGATGCATGTTTCAAATAGCTGGTGTCTATTATAATAACTAAGCCTTGTTATTCTATACTATTTACCCTCAGAATTTATTTTTGTCAGTAACAGTTTTAGAAATACTTACTGCTGGTACAGTCGTACTCAATATATTTTTTGTATATGGTTTTCATTAAAATATGTATACACTAGCATCCATCTACAAATCGCAGCCTCTGGCAAGGCTGTCTGAATGCAGTATAATAGGCTATGTTGTTATCATGTGGTTGGTACGGGATGCTATGGCTTAGACGCATGACTGAATAGTCAACATTTAACATCTGTAGAGCAGTCCTGTCTTAGAGTTGACTATCTTCACCATAATGCCATTATTTGTGGTTTTATTTATTCCAATCTGATGTTTAGTTTCAGTTTAACTTGGAATACTATAAAATTTTGACTAACTTTTATTTTGTTAAAATGACTCGCGATGAGGATGTCTACTTGACATTCTTCACTTTGGAAAGTGTAAGGTTTATTTCCCCTAAACATTTAATTGCTGATGACTTCACCCAACATGTATCATGGCTGGCCTTGAACGAAAGCCTTGCTCAAGCTTGTCTTGAGACGATGGCATGAACATTCCACCATTACTACCCAACTTAATATTTGTTTGTTTAAAATAAGAGTAAGAGTAAGCTTTGAGGAAAGAGGGATAGGGTCTCCTAACGTTGGTGTTTCTATAGTGTAAACTGTATGGGACTTTAAAAAACATTAACAGAATCAAGGGGATTAGCAGAACATCTAAAGTACTTTATAGAGGTGCAGTTTATGAGGATGAATGACCTTTCTGAAATGTTTTCCATTTCCTTTAGTAAACCTATGAGTTAACGCTGATAGAAAATGGTATAGTACGTTGAGATTGTTTTAGTCAGCTCTTTGTGAAAAAATTATGTACTTGCATCCAATATTCTGTTTTGAAAATTACTATATAAACTCATATTCTCGTTTTATTTTTTACTTTACTTTGATATCTAAAGACTATCATTGCGCCGCGCGTAATGATCCTAGAGATTTTTTTTTTTGACAGAACAATGTACATGATATGTAGCCGTTGGATATTCATGATCCTCTAACCATGCATTTGTATCTATCTAAAAAGTTGATCTTTTTCCAGGGTTGTCTGAGGTTTGATAAGTGCAGGAACACCAGTCGTTCTATGAATAAGGCTCTCTTGGCATGATGTCAGGGTGACATTACTGCTGCAGGTTTTTGAGTCTCTGCCTGTTTCTGTACCGCAGTGGAACTGTAAGGGTTTGTCACGAGTTGAATCTCAGTGATACGTTGGGGTTTAATGTTCCAATGTTATTTAATTGGTATTTGACTGCTTTTGCCTCTAAACAACAAGTTGCAGGAACTAACTCCTCCATTTGTCTCTTCACATGGGAAACTACATTGCCTTAGACGGTTTGTTCATCTGTATTTTGTTCATTTTTTGTCTTATTTCTCCAGAAGAATATGACACTGTTTTTTGTACTTGATTTCTCCTAAATAAACTTTAAAATGCTCTATCACAGTCCAGTATTTGAATGTTTTTTTGTTTTGGTTCACCAATATTTGTCCAACAGACTTGGGGCCATTTATATACAGTGGGGAGAACAAGTATTTGATACACTGCCGATTTTGCAGGTTTTCCTACTTACAAAGCATGTAGAGGTCTGTAATTTTTATCATAGGTACACTTCAACTGTGAGAGGCACAATCTAAAACAAAAGTCCAGAAAATCACATTGTATGATTTTTAAGTAATTCATTTGCATTTTATTGCATGACATAAGTATTTGATCACCTACCAACCAGTAAGAATTCCGGCTCTCACAGACCTGTTAGTTTTTCTTTAAGAAGCCCTCCTGTTCTCCACTCATTACCTGTATTAACTGCACCTGTTTGAACTCGTTACCTGTATAAAAGACACCTGTCCACACACTCAATCAAACAGACTCCAACCTCTCCACAATGGCCAAGACCAGAGAGCTGTGTAAGGACATCAGGGATAAAATTGTAGACCTGCACAAGGCTGGGATGGGCTACAGGACAATATGCAAGCAGCTTGGTGAGAAGGCAACAACTGTTGGCACAATTATTAGAAAATGGAAGAAGTTCAAGATGACGGTCAATCATCCTCGGTCTGGGGCTCCATGCAAGATCTCACCTTGTGGGGCATCAATGATCATGAGGAAGGTGAGGGATCAGCCCAGAACTACACGGCAGGACCTGGTCAATGACCTGAAGAGAGCTGGGACCACAGTCTCAAAGAAAACCATTAGTAACACACTACGCCGTCATGGATTAAAATCCTGCAGCGCACGCAAGGTCCCCCTGCTCAAGCCAGCGCATGTCCAGGCCCGTCTGAAGTTTGCCAATGACCATCTGGATGATCCAGAGGAGGAATGGAAGAAGGTCATGTGGTCTGATGAGACAAAAATAGAGCTTTTTGGTCTAAACTCCACTCGCCATGTTTGGAGGAAGAAGAAGGATGAGTACAACCCCAAGAACACCATCCCAACCGTGAAGCATGGAGGTGGAAACATCATTCTTTGGGGATGCTTTTCTGCAAAGGGGACAGGACGACTGCACCGTATTGAGGGGAGGATGGATGGGGCCATGTATCGCGAGATCTTGGCCAACAACCTCCTTCCCTCAGTAAGAGCATTGAAGATGGGTCGTGGCTGGGTCTTCCAGCATGACAACGACCCGAAACACACAGCCAGGGCAACTAAGGAGTGGCTCCGTAAGAAGCATCTCGAGGTCCTGGAGTGGCCTAGCCAGTCTCCAGACCTGAACCCAATAGAAAATCTTTGGAGGGAGCTGAAAGTCCGTATTGCCCAGCGACAGCCCCGAAACCTGAAGGAGCTGGAGAAGGTCTGTATGGAGGAGTGGGCCAAAATCCCTGCTGCAGTGTGTGCAAACCTGGTCAAGACCTACAGGAAACGTATGATCTCTGTAATTGCAAACAAAGGTTTCTGTACCAAATATTAAATTCTGCTTTTCTGATGTATCAAATACTTATGTCAAGCAATAAAATGCAAATGAATTACTTAAAAATCATACAATGTGATTTTCTGGATTTTTGTTTTAGATTCCGTCTCTCACAGTTGAAGTGTACCTATGATAAAAATTACAGACCTCTACATGCTTTGTAAGTAGGAAAACCTGCAAAATCGGCAGTGTATCAAATACTTGTTCTCCCCACTGTATCTTGCACAGGACCCATTCCATTGCCATGAAACCAGCCACAGAGGCAGTTGTGGGTCGCTGATTTACTTTTCATAAATAAAGTTGTATTTGGCCTCATGGATGTGGTGGTAACATACAGTAACTAGTTACAGCTGTGCTGTGTGATTGTTGTGATTGTTGTTTCTCAGTGCTGGCAGGGAGGGATGATCATTCTGTCTTTCTCAAACACTATCTCCCTCTAAACAAGAGACCCCACCATTCAAAGCCTTCTCTTCAGTGAAGTAACTTTAGGATGTTGAGGAACATAAATCTCCAAAGCAAGTCCCATGTCTGAACATCAAGAAGGGAAAAAAGGTGTGTAATTATCATGAATAATTGGGCCAGTGGGATGGGGCAGTTGAAGGCAGAAGTTTCTAGGGCGTTTCAGGCCTGTCTGGGCCACCACAGTGTTAACGAGTAGAATCAGCCCATGGTGAAGTCTGGAGGCTGATGCTGGTCCAACCACAACCCTGTTATTTGACCATCAGGGTGTTGGCAAACTTCATAGTGCTGCTGCTTATTTAGAAAGGTCAGAGGAGGACTGCGTTGGGGGAGCTGTGGTCAGTCAGTGGAAACTGAAAGGCCACAGAGGAAGCTGGAGTATGAGGGAGCTCAACAAACACTGTCCTCGAAGATGGCTGGGTTTATTCAGGAGATTTTATGAACCAAACTGCAAGAATAAAGAATTGTGTCCTCTTGGGAAACTGATTTGAATTGAAGTTAATTTATTCTTCCTGGTGAACCGAAGTGTTATTGAATATTCATTTGAGCCTTTATATCATAATGTTAAGACCTGCCTGTGCCATTAAACCCCTACAACTCATCCAGAATGCCGCAGCCCGTCTGGTGTTCAACCTTCCCAAGTTCTCTCACGTCACCCCCCCTCCTCCGCACACTCCACTGGCTTCCAGTTGAAGCTCGCATCCGCTACAAGACCATGGTGCTTGCCTATGGAGCAGTGAGGGGAACGGCACCTCTGTACCTTCAGGCTCTGATCAGTCCCTACACCCAAACGAGGGCATTGCGTTCATCCACCTCTGGCCTGCTGGCTCCCCTTCCTCTGCGGAAGCGTAGTTCCCGCTCAGCCCAGTCAAAACTGTTCGCTGCTCTGGCACCCCAATGGTGGAACAAGCTCCCTCACGACGCCAGGACAGCGGAGTCACTCACCACCTTCCGGAGACATTTGAAACCCCACCTCTTTAAGGAATACCTGGGATAGGATAAAGTAATCCTTCTACCCCCCCCCCCCCCCCCCCCAAATTGTAAAGTGGTTATCCCACTGGCTATAGGGTGAACGCACCAATTTGTGAGTCGCTCTGGCATATTTGTGTAATTACAGTATTTGTGGTGTGTAACTAACCTCTTTTCAAATGCTAGTAGGGATCACAGAGACATAAGTCATGAAATAGACTACATTTTACATCCCAGGAGTATTATGTATGACTGTAGGCTTTGGCTGACAGGCCAAAACAGCGTGTCACACAACCACAACATCTGGTTTGTATTATCCTCTTACTGTTGGTGGGGTTACACCCTCCCTTTTAATGGTTCTGTCTTTTGCAATTGTTTGGAGAAACTACTTTGGTGGATTTTTCCCAGTAAAAGCGAAAAACTGGCTCTTAATTTATCTATGTGAGGTCGCTGACTCGGGTGGCAATCGTAGTAAAACAGTTTTTTAGGATTTCCATGACTTCTTCTAAATTATGATATCTTTCTTTATTCCTGACTCAATAATACAGTGCTATGAAAAAGTATTTGCCCCCTTTCTAATTTTCTCTACTTTTGCATATTTGTGATAATGAATGTTATCAGATCTTCAACCAAAACATAATATTAGATAAAAGGAACATACAGTGGGGGAAAAAAGTATTTAGTCAGCCACCAATTGTGCAAGTTCTCCCACTTGAAAAGATGAGAGAGGCCTGTAATTTTCATCATAGGTACACGTCAACTATGACAGATAAAATGAGATTTTTTTTTCTCCAGAAAATCACATTGTAGGATTTTTAATGAATTTATTTGCAAATTATGGTGGAAAATAAGTATTTGGTCAATAACAAAAGTTTCTCAATACTTTGTTATATACCCTTTGTTGGCAATGACACAGGTCAAACGTTTTCTGTATGTCTTCACAAGGTTTTCACACACTGTTGCTGGTATTTTGGCCCATTCCTCCATGCAGATCTCCTCTAGAGCAGTGATGTTTTGGGGCTGTCGCTGGGCAACACAGACTTTCAACTCCCTCCAAAGATTTTCTATGGGGTTGAGATCTGGAGACTGGCTAGGCCACTCCAGGACCTTGAAATGCTTCTTACGAAGCCACTCCTTCGTTGCCCGGGCGGTGTGTTTGGGATCATTGTCATGCTGAAAGACCCAGCCACGTTTCATCTTCAATGCCCTTGCTGATGGAAGGAGGTTTTCACTCAAAATCTCACGATACATGGCCCCATTCATTCTTTCCTTTACACGGATCAGTCGTCCTGGTCCCTTTGCAGAAAAACAGCCCCAAAGCATGATGTTTCCACCCCCATGCTTCACAGTAGGTATGGTGTTCTTTAGATGCAACTCAGCATTCTTTGTCCTCCAAACACGACGAGTTGAGTTTTTACCAAAAAGTTCTATTTTGGTTTCATCTGACCATATGACATTCTCCCAATCCTCTTCTGGATCATTCAAATGCACTCTAGCAAACTTCAGACAGGCCTGGACATGTACTGGCTTAAGTAGGGGACACGTCTTGCACTGCAGGATTTGAGTCCCTGGCGGCGTAGTGTGTTACTGATGGTAGGCTTTGTTACTTTGGTCCCAGCTCTCTGCAGGTCATTCACTAGGTCCCCCCGTGTTGTTCTGGGATTTTTGCTCACCGTTCTTGTGACCATCACACCACCACCACCATGCTTGACCTTTGGTATGATGTTCTTACTGTGGAATGCAGTGTTTGGTTTTCGGCAGGCATAATGGGAACCATCTCGTCCAAAAAGTTGACTCAAGTTTGCCAAAAAGCACCTGGATGATCATCAAGACTCTTGGAAGAACGTTCTATGGACAGATGATTCAAAATTATAACTTTTTGGATGACATGGTTCCAGTAATGCCTGGCGAAAACCAAACTCTGCATTCCACAGTAAGAACATCATACCAAAGGTCAAGCATGGTGGTGGTGGTGTGATGGTTTGGGGATGCTTTGCTGCCTCAGGACCTGGACGACTCTCTGTATCAGAGAATTATACAGGAGAATGTCAGACCATCCGTCTGTGAGCTGAAGCTGAAGCGCAGCTGGGTCATGCAGCAAGACAAGGA